CCCCCAGCCTCGCCCGCAGCTCGGCCCCGTCCCGCTCCAGCTCGGCCACGCGGCCCCCCAGCATCGCCGTCTCGTTGGCCGCCCGCTCCCGGCATCCCTGCAGCTTCCGCACGGCCTCCGAGTGCCACACCATCACGGCCACGGAGACCGTCGCCGCCGCCACCAGCAAGAGCAGGACCACGCAGAGGCCCAGCACCCTCAGGACGGCTTTGGTGGCCGAGGGGTCCATGCTCGCCCGCCCGGGACCTGCTGCCTGCTGCAGCCGCTGCTCCCTTGTGAGCACCGCGTGCCGGAGACAGGTCAGTGCCTGGGCGCTTTAATTGCCGTGCGTGGGCTTCACTGGCAAAGCCGCGCCTGGCTGTGGTTTCCCGCAGGTCACAGCCCAGGGACTGGAATAGAGTTGTTTGTGTCGCAGGCTGCAGAGGACCCTCGGGCTCGGCCCCATGGGGCTTTCCCGGCTGGGGTGTGCTCCACGGGCAGGAAGGGGTCAATGCTGGCTGGCTCATGGGGAAGGGGCAGGTGCTGGGGACTGCTGCACCTGGGGCTCGTTGAGGTCCAGTATAAAGGTGAGGGGAGCCGGGGCTGGCTGCCTTTAGCCTGCGGGAGGCATGGGTGGGAGAGATGTCCAGCTTGGGCAGGCCTGGGCTCATGAGGCTGGGTTACAGGTTAGGGGCTTGATGCTGTCTTAGCACCTGGACTAGTTACTGCTGGATGCTGCAGGGCAGGGGAGGGCATTGCTGGTTCTGGGGCTCCCTCCCCTGATGCTGCCCCCACTACCCACAGCTGTTGCAACCATGCATGCTGCAAAGGGGCAGGACTGGCACTGCTGCTGGTGGGGTGGGAAAGACCGGTGCTGGGGCACCAGGGCTTCTGCTTACCCTCTGCTCTGAGCACCCCCAGCCCTGCTCTGCATCTCCTCTGTCTGGAGGGGTGACAAGGGCAGAGAGCAGGGGGACCCTAGCCCTGGGGAAGCAGGACGTCCAGCGCCCTGGGGGAGTGAGCTCTGGGGCAGGATGGGGTGTCAGCACAGCGGAGGAGGCTGCTGGCACAGAGGGCAGCTCTTCCCTGGGTCTTCAGACAGAGATGACCCAGGCTGGCTGCTGGGCCCCAGGGGTAAATCCCCACTGCAGAAGCTGTGGTCCCTCTTGCAAAGGGGGCCTGGCTCTGGTGAGGCCCAGCTCTGCTTCTCCCTCCTGCTTTGCAGCTGCAGCTTGTGTCCTTGACTGCGCAGGGGCAGCGAGCATCCTCCAGGGAAGGGGGGAATCCAGTCTCTGCTCTGGGGCATGCGCCCTCCCTCCTCCCCCACGAAGGAGTGGGCACTGCAAGGCTAGTGCCTTGCCCCCAGGGCTATTCCCTGCACCCAAGCACAACCACCCCTGGGGCACAGCACAGCACCGCGGCTCAGAGGGGAAAGAGGGCATTCGCACGGGCAGAGCCGTCCTGCTCTTCCCCGCACCAGCTGTGGGAGCTGGGCTCTCCCAGCCCTAACCCATTCCCCTGCCTGGCACTCCCAGGTGTGGTAGAGTAGCAATAACTACCAGTACCCTCCTGATCTGCATCTCGCTGGAATCGCCAGTGGGGAAACTGAGGCACAGATGAGTCGAACAGCAGCAGAACTAGAACCAGAACCCAGGAGTCCTGCTCGACTCGCTCCCTCCCGGACCCGGGAATAGACCCCAACTCCTTCCCCACCCAGCCGGCTCCTGCTGGGCTGAGCCTAGTGTCACAGGCCAGCTGGGCACTGTGAGTGTATCAATTTTGGATTGAGGAGGCAAAGTTGGGAGTGGAATAAAGGCAAATTTATTATAGCTTATACACACGCAACAGTTAACAGAAAGATAAATGCGATAAGCAGATAAGGCAATATAAAAGAGCTAATAGTAAAATAATAACAACAGATAATAATAACAGATAGATAGATAGATCAATCTGTCACAGGCCAACTGGGCACTGTGAGGGTATTAGCCACACTGGGGTGTTTAAAACAATAAATAGACAGACATGGGTTGGCAACTTATCGATAGTCCCTCAATGCCAGGTGAGCGCCAAGTGATTCCAGCCAAGTCAGGCGTCCCTGAAGATCAACGCTGTCAGAGGGCTTACCGGGGAAGGGCCCTTGCTCAGGATCTGATCCTCGCTCACACCGGGAGTCCGGGGTCCAGGCATGGGACAGAAATGACCATTCTGTTCCCTCCTTCCTGCTGGTTATCTGATGCGTGTGTTTTTTATATCTAGTTTTATGCTAATCTGTTGGCTTCAGGGCCACTCACAGTCTTGCCCTATAGCTGTTACCCTGTGGGATTGAAAGGTGTCGGAATCATCACAAAAGGTTACTACGCAGACTCGGGTTTATCCAATAAGCAAATTATGCTGCAGCACATTTAGGTTTGAAATTGACATCGCTCCGCCTAAATCCCAACCCCTTTTAGGCTTCAGTTGAATATGCTTTCTTGGGATACCTCTTCCTGGGATGTGTTTGGGTGTGCCTAGCAGTTAGATCTAGGTTTTATGGCTAAGGCTGAACCCTGAGCAAAAAACCATTAGGCCAGCTAATCTCACAGCTACAGCTTTGCCTCTGGGGCCCAGTCAGTTCCATGAACAGTTAATTTATTAGTTTGGTTAAACTTATGACAGACAAGTTACATTTGCAAACTTACAGGCTTATATTAACTAATATTACCTATTTCGGCAAAACACCAAATGCCTCCAAGAAGCACACATTATTGCTTATTAATCCCTCTGGTTCTGGCTGTCACAGCCTAGGAGCTTTTGCTGCCAGCTGGCTGCAGGGATGGAGGGGAGACTTGGACCCTGTCCTGCCAATGCACACCCGTGGGAGCTAACCTTCCAGAGGTGATGGACACAGCTCTGCTCCTCCTCCCTGCCCGCGGGATGGGGGAGGCCTGTGTTGCTTGGCAAGGGGAAGGAGCAGCCCTTACCCTGGGCCCCGAGCACAGCAGTAAACAGCAAAGCCCCTTTATTCTGCGAGGCCGAGCCAGGCCCCATTTGCATTTACATCCAAGCAGGGAGTTGCGCTGAAGCACCTGCGACCGCCATCCTTGGGCGACATTTTTCTTGCAGGAGCTGCGGGGCGTCTTCATCCCCCATTCCTCCTCCTCCTCCTGAGGTGCCCCTGCAGAGGTAGAGGGGAGTCTTGTCTGCTCAGGACCCAGAGCTGCTTATTCCCTGGGATCCAGCGCTGAGACAGCAGCCAGGCCAGGGCAGGAGTCGGCGCTGGGGCCAGCAGGCTCCCAGATGCCTTGTCCCTGCTGGGCTCAGTACACCCTTCACTGAGGCCTGGCCTCACGGTGCACTTGCACGGGGCTGGGCCCACCGCAGGGCTCATATGCAGACACTGGGTTATACTGGCTTGGGGCAGGGGAGACAGGAGCAACTACCTGGCTCAAGCCAGGCGGCCGGATGAGACTGAGCTGCACGGGGTGGAGCTGGAGTTACTGGGGACAGAGCTGAGCCTGGGGGCCTGAATAATGCCCAGCTCCTGGGCACAGCTCCCCCCAGCCCCATCCTGTCCCAGAAGGGAAGGGCTCAGAGGCTCACAGTGCAGGGGCGCCCATGGATGGGAGTCCAGGGTCTGTGGCCAGGCCCTTGCTGAGTGGGGGGTGGGAAGCGATGCAGAGGCCCCAGACTGCGTACCTGTGTGGTGTGCCACCCCCTCACTAGAGAAGGATGCCTGCAAGGAGGCCGAGAGCTGGCAGGGGCAGGGGCAGGGGCAGGAGGCCAGGGAGCCGCAGGTCGGCCCGGCTGGAGAGGGGGTTCGTGGGCCTGCTCATGATCTGCTTGTGACACTCGTCCCTGCGGGGACAGGAGGGGAAGGCAGAGGCATGTGGGAACAGCCCCCCAGGGCTGCAAGAAAGAGAAGAGTGGGGCTCACGGGCTCCTCGAGCCTGCCCCAGCCCTGGGGACCGGGGATGTAGGGCAATGGGGTGAGTCTTGTCCCAGGGTGGTCTCCTGCCAGCCCCCTGTCTCTAGTGGGTTATGGGATAGAGAAGATCCCACATAACTTACTGATTCGTTTGATGCACTGGCTGGGGCAATTTTTAGCTACTTGCACAATTTCACAATGATTACACTGTTAATTCATACAACACAATTTTATTTTAAAATTCTTTGCTGTGCATATAACACTGCTTAGCTTTAAGAAATACCACAAACATTAAGAACACAACTACATATATCAGAAACAATGCTCCAAATGCACTTCTTTGAAACAATTACAATTACAACTCAAAGTTAAATTTGAATCAATATTATTATTTCTCATAATATACTTACAATCCTAGAATTCCGAGAAGCCAAACACCTAGATATGCTTTCATTCCTCAGTAGTACAATTTAATGGGTTGGCCTCAGTAGTACGGTTCAATGGGCTCGCCTCAGCAATACGGTTCAATGGGCTTGCCTCAATACTCATAGGACTAAGTCCCCTTCCTTCAGTCCCACTCGGGCGCTCCGTGGCTTCAGCGTGAACTAAGAGATTCGTGTCCACGGAGAGGGTGGTTCAGGTGATCAGTCTGATCCGGCCTACACTTGCGATTCTTCCTTCCCTGGTCTGCAAGTGAAGTCACCTTCAAATTGGGACAGTAAGTTACAGTTTTTATTGAATGAGTTGCCGTCTTGGGCCCCTCCTACCCAAACCTGTCACTACTCCCAAATTTGGGCTCGGATCTTTCTTAACAGATTTCTGCTGGCTTCAGTTTCTTTGGGGAATTTCCACACTACTGCAGCAACCTTTCTTTCCAAAGGCTCCTAGGGTTTGATTTCTCGGAATGTGGGATGTTTGCTTAAGGGTCATTTTTAGGTTAACCTTGTTAAAGGCCTCTAAAGAGAAAATTCAAGAGTTAAGACTTTGAGCAAAGCCCGGACCTTCCGCACATAGGCCAAAACAATGGCCTAGATAAGAAGATGAACCTTGCCTTTTTCCTAAACTGACTAATGTGCAACTATTACAAACATTCAAACTATTACAATCAATATGACACCCCCTTGTTGCAATTCCTGCCCTGGGACACCCCCAGGTTGCACAGACAAGACAGCGGGGGCTCACGGCGGAGCCTGGACTGCTGGGCTTTGCCCCGGAGGAAGAGACCCCCCCCACCCCGCTCTCCATCCAGATCTGCAGTCTGGGAATGGCCCCGGGGTGGGAGGCAGGAGCTGCTCCTTACTTTTGCAGCTGGAGGTGCTGGGATCTGTTTTTCCAGGCCATGTTTTCATCTGGAGAACAGGGTGGGGAGGGGAGCTGGGGTCAGGGTGGCCACCCCCTGCCGCATCCTAAAACAGACCCGGTGCCAGCGCAGGTGGAGCCCCCTCTCCCCCAACACCCACCAGGGTGGCCTTGAGCCTGGCTGCGTGGACCTGGACTTTGGCCCCCGCACATCGATCCAGCACCGATGGCCCCATCCTGCACTTTGACCCCCCGCATCTCTGCCCTGCAGCCAGGACCAGGCTCTGCAGCCCCATCCCGGAGCCTGGGCACAGGGATCATGGAGAGACATGGGGGCATGGCTTTGCCCAGGACCCGAGCCCCCAGGCCTGGGACTGCAGCGGGCTCACCTCGCAACCGGTGCTCCAGTGCCTCGTGCCAGGCCAGCTCCTCGTGCCAGGGCAGGTGGGGATGCTGTCCTGCAGGCCACGCTGGCTCCGGGGGGAAGGAAAAGCCGTCTCGGAGCCCAGCCACACCAGCACGGCTCTGTCCCCCTTCCTGCCCAGGCCCCGGTGCTGCACGTGGCAGCATCCCAAGGGTGGCTCCGAGGGCAGCAGGCTCCGAGCCTGGGGCTGGGGCAGGGGCAGGGGCCGGCGGCATCACTCAGCCGCGAGCCAGGGCTGGGAGGGAGCGGTGTGGAGGGGACCTGGGGCTGGGGTCCCGCCAGGCAGGACGGAGCCGAGGCACCCCGCTCCCAGCCCCGGGCGGCTCACCCCGCGCAGGGGCGAGCACCGGCCCCGGCCCCGGGCTGCCCTGTGGCAGGACAAGCCGCTCGGGCGGAGGCCTCATTAGCATGCACCTCATTAGCATGTCTCATTAACATACATCTCATTAGCGCAGCAAGCATGACCACAGCCCGCCTCGGCTCCTCGTCTTCATTGACGACTCGTTGAGGGGCTCTTCGTCCGCACGCGGGTCATTAGCAAATCGCTCATTAGCATAAACCCCCGCCCGCCTGCCAATCGCGTGCCGCGTATTAGCACCTTGCTTCTTCGACACCAGCGCGCGCCTATCTGCATCGCCCCTTTAACAGAGCGCCACATTAGCATATCGTCTCATTAGCATAGGATCTCATTACCATCGGGTCTCATTAGCATACGCCCCCCCG